TTAACCTGTCACTTAATGATTGTTGGGTTTGGAAAGAGTTTAAATGAAAGTGGGTGTCATCAATCTGATTCCCTAGGATGCTATTCAGAGTCAGATATGGGGGACGCTTTAGGTGTAAGGAATTGGAGGGAGCAGGTCTGGGCAAAAACTGTTACCACAGGCTTTAGCTGATCCCAAGGCCCAAATTGAGACAAGGAATCAGGTCTTTGAATCACCATCCACCAGTCACTGTGTTTAACCTTGGGCAAGTAGTTCCTTTTAGCCAATGGCAATTCTTGAGATTCCTCACCTATGAGTTGTCAGCAGGGAGATATCCCTATGTGACATCTTCCTAGGATTTCTGCCTAAACTTAACAGTAGGTCAAGGGAAATTCTGATTGAAAGAAATCACCATATTCTGCCCTCCACCTTAAAAATGCATTCTAATACAGGCCTCCCCTGGTGGCGCAGGCAATTGAGCGCAGCGCTGTGAAGCTGTCTGCAGCCTCTGCAGTGGCAGTTTGATACTGGCTGGCCAGCAAGGGTCCCACATGGCACCGCAGACCTCTCCTGTCATGCCTGCTGCTCCCTTCAGCAGTGTTTTTTGTCAGTCTGCCTGTTCTGTTCCCTGCTCTCTCTCTGGTGAATCTTCTCACCCTCTCGCGCATCTGGCCTGTACACAGATTCTAGTATAAATAAATAAATCTTTAAAAAAAAATGCATTCTAATACACTCCATGCTATCTCCCAAGCTTTTTATAATTACCCCAAGACTTACTTACTTTTGTTTAAGGCATTTTTGCATTATAATGTTTTTTTAAGTATTTTTTTAAGTATTTCTTTGCCTTTCTGTTTGTTCTTTAATTTGGCATGCTATTATTAATAAAAAATACAATACTTAAATAGAGATGGAAATGGTGCTTTCTTCAGAAACCATTATGTCTATGCAGTATGGTAGACTATCTCACTGTATAATCTGAGAAATCCTTATCAATTTGTAGACCTAGAGACATAATTAAAGTTCAACTAAGAAGAATAACTATAAAGGACAGAGGAAAGTTGTCATAGCAACCAAAATCCTGATCTTGCTAATTTTAGACCACAAAAGTAAACCTTTATGATGCCATAGTATTTTCTACATTTTATTTTAACCAATGGCCATTTTACATAACTTATTTGCTAAATATGTAGCTGAATCATTTTATTGCAATTTAGCTCCTTACATTACACTTCATAGTTTTGAAAATCTGTCATTAGGAAACCTTTTTGCAAAATCTAATTTTCTCAAGAGCAAAACACTTTAAAGGGTATTTAATGTAACTTAAAATAAGTTGAATTTATAAAAACAAAACTCAAAACACAGACATCAGAATGGTGGTTGCCAGAGGGGATGAGGGTTGGGGCTTAGGCAAAAACTGTAAAGGGGTATAAGAGCTACAGTTATAAAATAGATTATGAGCTGTAACACACAGCATGATGACTACAACTAATAATACTGTGTTGCATAATGAAAGCTTCCAAGAAACTAGATTTTAAATGTTCTCATAAGAAAAAAAATCTTTGTAACTCTGATGACGGGTGATAACTCTACCCATGATGATCTGTACCCATTGTGATCATCTTGCAATGTATACAAATACTAAAGCATTATATCATACACCTGATATCACTATAATTGTATATGGCATTTATACCACAATAAAAAATAACCCAGACTTATAATATATTGACAATGTAAATATTTGGTAAAAAAAAAAAAAAAGTGCGTATTCTAACAAGTTGTAACATTTTTAAATATATCACTTCTCCTTTTTACAAGTTTTTTATATAAGCTGGACACATATGCCTCATAATTTTAATTTTTTTATCTAGCATTGTAATGTATTTCCAGGTTTGTAAATATTTACCTCTAAGATTATTTAATAACAGCATTTTATGGGATTACTGTAATTTAAGAAGTCTCTCTATTAGATATTCCTAGTATCAGAAGACCAAAAACTAACTATAAATATTCTTACATTAAATTATTTGTACACCTAAGATTAATTCTTATTGTGAATTCCTAGGTAAAGAATAAACACCTCTAAATTTTTTGATGTGTTGTTACTTTGGCCACTATAAAATATTTTTCTAAATCAATGGAATTTCCTAATTATCTAGTGCTTTGTACCCTCACCTTCCTATCTATTCTTAACACATATAATCTCAGTAACTAATGCCTATTATAAGAATTGAGCAAAATGTCAATTTTTTTCTGAATAATAAAACTGCCACATGCAGTAAAGTGCTTAGAGACTTTAAAGTTATCACATTAGTCAGGACTAAATAAGTTTTCCCACCTACAAAGTGAAGCTTCTTGATAACCACATTATTTCCATGAATATGAATTCTCAAGAGCCACGTAACCATTCTTAGTTTTGCTATTTACAAATATTACCTCAAAATAATGAAGTATTGAAAATAAAATAATAAGCAATTAATCTGTCATATTTTTTGTATTTTGATTTTTCATTTTATAACAGTATGTGCAACATAAAAGGAACAATGTCTATATATCTATTGCAATATTTTCTTGACTTTTTTAAAATCAGATATAATAGGAATAATATCATTGACAATTGAACGTTAAAAGTTTATAGTTTTTCCCTTCTTCCTAAAAACATCTTCCAAACAATACTTCACACCTAAAGAGGATCATTCTGGGAAATTATAGAAACAATGTTTGCTTCCTTTAAAAAATTGAATAAACAAAGTACGTTTTCTAAATACTGAATCTTATTTTTCCTATCATTGCTTTGATTATTCAACCTATATGTAAATATGTTTTATATTCCATAATCAGCTGGGGTAAAAGAAAAATATTTAATAAACCAGAGTGGCCAAGAACCAAGGACTAGAAACAACGGCGTAGCCACTTGGAATGGCAGCCGAATGTCAGTTTGAGGACCAGCAGCAATACCCACTTCCAGACAAGACAAGATTGAGCCAAAACACAGATAATATGCCTTCAACTTAATGATGGTACTACTGCACTTAGCTATTTGTATTTAATACAATCATTTCCTTTAAATTCCACCATAAAACATAATTCCTCAAATATCCTCAACTATCCTGTGGAGATAAGTAATATTGCTTATTTTATCTGGTGATTCTCACAGCAGAGGAACAAATTTATTTTTTGAATACATACATATTGATATTTCATACATATGTATGTGTTTGAGTGTATGTATGATTTTAGTCTTGCTGACTAACATGAAATGTAAAAGTCACAGTATCATCAATATCTGTATAGTTTCACCTGAGTTATGCCAATAGTGCAAATAAGACTCCAGACTCTTATAAGGAGACAAGATCCTAAGGTAAACAGTATGAGAAAGCCTGGAAATCACTAAGTTGGGAAGTAAAATTTTGCCACATTCTGGAAAATTCTGGGCTGCCAATTGCTACTAGGGAAGGAAGGATGCATGAATGAATCGATCAGTTCATCCACTGATAAATAGATGAAACAAGCTTACATGTCAGACATCATGCTACATACATTCTTTGAATAGATTATCTTGCATTCTCATGAAAACCCCATGATTTGGTATGATTATTCTCATTTTACCAAGGAAAAAATAAGAACAGAGAGTGTGAATCCATGCCTGTCTGAGTCTAACCTGATCATAAACTTTTGTATTATATTAGTATTTATAATGGAAAAATTAAAAACTTAAAAAAGAATGAAATTTTTTTATCCATTTATCTGAGATTATTCTACACATTTTCAATTGTACTTCTACTATATCCACAGTTACAGAAAATAGATTCGCGAAGGTTTAATTCATAAAAATGCATTGTTTGTTTGCAAATCAAAAGGACTCTATAGACCCACCAACTTTCCTGTTGAAACTGGGGTTATTAATGCCCAGGCATTGAGTATCTCTGTTTGCCCAAAATCATGTTCACTCCCTCACCAGCACAGCCTGAAATCTTAAATTACACAGTAAAGCTATTAAGGTCCAAAATATGTTCAGACTGGAGACTACAACTTCAATTCCACCCCTTCAGAGAGCACTCACATGCATGAAGAAAAATTTAGGCAAGGCAGGTTTCATTACTTCATATTTCAGAAAGCAGGTAAATTAAGAGGACAAATGCCTTGCCAAAATTCATTTAGTGAAAAGTACTACAGTGCCTCCTATAAGATCCTTTTTCACTGACTACTTTAAGGATTATTTTTAATATTTTGGAGATAACCATCTAAAATAATTGAATAATTTCATAAAATAATTCAAGAATGTTACTGAACTAAATAAATTAAAATAATTAGATGAACAAGTTATGTTTTATCATCAGTGCCTTGGTAAATACAGTGTATCATGTATATTCCCATGAAATCATGCCACATTTACAGTAGCTTCAAAAATTCACCTGGCAAGAAGTGAATTATTAATCAGAGTATTGTCTACAGCAAATATCAAAAAAAAATGACTCAGAGGAAAACATACCATAAAAAATGAGGTTCAAGAACCAATTTCTGTACAATATCTTATAATAGTGTTGTTATATTATAATAGTATTGCTTATAATCCTTCTAACAGCCACTAATGTTTTGAAAGTATATCTTTAACCATTATTTCTAATATAAATATTTGTTCTCTTTTCCTTTCAGAAAATATAAAATGTTTAGAGCATGGAGCAACTGTTTCATTCACATTTCAGTAAGTTAGGGTCAGAAGCTAAATCTACAGCAAATAATTGACTGTATAGAAAACTACTAGATTTGACAGCTTACATAGTGTTGTTGGGAGAAAATCCTTTCAGTAACTATGTCTGGCCGTACCTGCTGGGGAAACTCTCCTCTGTGGTTCCATAAATATTTCATGAACCAACATAAAGTAATATGCTAATGATAGACTATTTACCCAGTGAGCAGGTGCACCCTCTGATGCTTTTTCATCTCCTGTATACCTTTGATGTGGAATCAGTGAAGCCATTTTGAATTGTTCTTTTCTGTGCACTTCCCTCCCCTTACAGTTTCATCTGAACCTAAAATGGTGAGCGAGAGTCATCATGAGGCCCTGGCAGCCCCGCCAGTCACCACCGTTTCGACTGTTCTACCAAATAATGCCACAGAGCCAGCCAGCCCAGGAGAAGGAAAGGAAGATGCCTTTTCTAAGCTGAAAGAGAAATTTATGAATGAGTTGCATAAAATTCCATGTGAGTATTATATAATGTTTAAATAGAATAAAAATAAATGGTTGAAAATCACCTTATCCACTGGAAAGCAGAACTCCTCTTAACATATTATAAGCTTACATTTATTTTTTTATTATTGGAAATAATATTTTACTGTACTCCAACAGTAAAATAAATATTCTTGGATATAAAGTCTTAAAACATATTTTATAAATCAAAATTTAATTGATAAAAAAATCTTTGTTTCATGTAAGTGGGTTCTTAATCATCTTTAATGCCTGTTTTTGTCACAAATATTAATGTTTATGGGGTGTGTTGTCTGTATTTTGGATCTGCATTGCATTGTAAAGATTATCCCTAAGTAATAGGTAAACTGAACTAATATTACAAGTTTTTATTTGATTTTATTCATTATTTCAAAATCTTTTGAACAGCCTATTAAATTGTCTGTCATCAGGGAAAAAAATCTATATCTATGTTTTTTGTATGAGTGTACCATTAATTCTGATCAGTGGCATTTTACTTAAATGTCAAACTACAGATTGGTCTTTTTTCTTTAGATTTAACCAGTTACTAAATACTAGAGACACTTTTCCAGATTATGAAGAAATAGGTTTTGGCCCTCACAAAGCTTATATTGCCATGGGGACAAGAACTAATAAATAACAAAGAGGCAAATTTCTAATGTGTGTCATGTAGTGATGAATAAGAAAACTAGAGGATGGTAAATAGGAAGGTGACAGGTATAGAAGATAAAAGGTTATTTTTTAGGATCTTCAGGGTTGATTTCCTTTGTAAAGAAACCTGGAGGAAGTGGTAGATAAATTTATAACACCTGGGAAATACAGACAAAAGCCTTAGGCAAAAATCTGCCTGGAACAACAAGGAGCCCACTGTACTTACAAAGAATGAACAGAGAGTGGTAGGAGATGAAGCTGGATAGTCACAAAAGCCTTCTAATGTGTGGCCTGTAAATTGCACGGACCTTGGATTTTACTAAGAGTGCAATAAAATGCCTTTGGAGCATTTTGAGCAAAGATGTCCAAATGATCTCACTAGAGCCCTTAAGAAATTAACTCTTGGCTACTGTACTATAGAAGGGTAAGGACAGAAGATGAGAGATTTATAAAATTTGTAAGAGAATTAGTCTATAAGGACAGTCAGTAACTAAATGAAAAAATACAAGGAATCAACTTCTGATCCCTTATTTAAAAACAAGTTGATCTATCTGTTCACATCAACAAATTCATTTCAGGATACTCTTAGCACAGTTGCTAGTAATCACCACTCTTAGCAAAAAAGATCCAGACCAGGGAAGACAGAGATGGTCCAATAGATCACACAGTAGGATGGGAAATGAAAGTTCTCATTCTCTTCCTTGTACTGCCGCTAGGCTGATGGATTCATCTGGGTTCTTTTGATATAAGGTGATAATTTATTCCAAGGCAGAAACCAAATGCATATCACGGGGGAACTCTCACTTAAAATAGCTTATCAAAGTGCTTACTTTAAGACAAATGTGTGGGCCGCTCTGGTGGTGCAAATGGGTTAAGTGTTAGCACTATGAAGCAATCCACAGTTACCGCAGCATGAGTTTGATCCCTGGCCAGGGAGGTGACCCACATGGCACAGCAAACCTCTCCTGTCTGCTCCCTTCAGCAGTGTATTTCAGTCAATCCTGTTCTGCTCCCCACTCTGTCTCTGGAATCTTCTCACCTCCCACACCTCTGGCCTGTACCCAGCTCTTGTATGCTTAAATAAATAAATCTTTAAAAAAAAAAATAAAGACAAACATGTTATAAGGAAGCAGGGAAAGTAATGAATACCACCAAGCCAAATGCATATTCCGCCTTGTCTTCAGTACCGGCTCCCACTCTGTGCTGGCAAACATTATGAATAGCATGACAACATTGATAACTATGGGATTTAATGTTCCCTATGTATTCACATAATTATTTCATCTCCTTTAGATCTTTGCCCAAATGTCATCTTCCTCAACCATGCTATTAAAATTATAATTCGTTCATCACATCCCATTATTGCCAGCATTTCCTATGCTCACTTTTGCTTCATTTCTCATAATATTACTTAGCACCATCTGCAATAATATGTATTTTGTAATTTGTTTTTAAGTTCCTCCAGCTTCCTCCAAAAATAATGCCAGCTCTGTGAGAGCAAGAAGTTGTGTCTGTTCTAAGGCAAGTTATATCCTTGGTATCAGGCATATAAGTGGCACACGATACCTACTTGGTGAATGAATGGATGCTAATGTAACTTATATCCTGAACCACCCCTCTTAGATTTTGAGGCTTTAAGATGCTCATTAATATTTCAATTTCTAACACTGAGGAAAGCATTATTTCAATATTGTATTGCTCACACTAACAAATTGTTTATATCTTTACAATAGTTCCATCTCTAGCCTTCCCCATGGAGAGTTAGCTATTACATTTTCCTCCCTGTTCATCAGAAGGAAAACAATCAATTGGAAAGTAATCTATAAAATTCTCCCTTCTTTCCTTTCCCATAGCCAACCACATTTCATTTCTACCCAAGCCACTGCCCCATTCCCATGTCCCTTTCATGGGGCACTGGAAATCAGACCAAATAACCAATCCACTCCTCTGTGAAAATTTTTGTTTGGCCAGCAACCTAAAATAATAAAATCCCAAAATAGCTGGGTAACACCAATAAAAATATTATATTGCTAGTACTCTCCTTGATGTAATAGAAAGGAACAAGTGAAGTATCTAAAATCTTAAAATGTTATGGTAAATAAGTGTTAGAAAAATGCTTATAAATATGATCACACAGTTGTGTGAAAAATAAGTAACTTTATATTTTACACTTTCATTTTAATCCATCACAATTTTTATTGCCCTTGTAATTGAAATTTCTAAGGAGGTTTATGTACAGAGAGCCACACTAAACAAAAATATAACATATCCCTAAAATCAAATTCCTTTGGGAGCATATGTTATATAAAGGTTATCACTTTTGACTTGGCATAATATAGTGTGACGATAATGACAGGTAACAAATTAAAATATTAATCGATTTCAGTCTCTGAACTAAATCTTGGCTATCTGGCAGATGTGTTTTTTGCAAAATTGATAGCAAACAGCTTTAGTCTGTCACTTGAAATTCCCACTTATGAGAAGAGTGGTGTCACAATGGCAAGGAGCATGCATGTCATTAGTTGGGTAATCTGCACAGTCCAGCATGGAGCATATTCAAACCAAATTGCCTGATGGTATCATCCATAATACCACAGGGCTTAAAATTAAAAAAAAAAAGGAAAAGGAAATGGTAAATGCTGAGCATTTTTATCTTTCAATTCATTGTGCACACTGTTATCTAAATGAAGCAGACAAGCTTTTTCAGAATGTTTCTTTATTTTGCAACTTTGATTTTAATATGACTAGGGCCATAGTTGGTTTGTAAAGCATGAACTCATGTCATCGGAATAGCTGTGATTAAGGTTTTGATATTCATGAGCTCCTTGAAGTACAGAGCACCTTTCCTTAAGCACAACAGAAAACCAAACAATCAGAACCTGACTCAGTCCAGAATAAGAGCCAGTGAGCTAGGGTGGTTGTGTTATTCATGTAGAAATGCCATTGGATAGATAGCTTTAAAACAAATGACATGATTTATTAAGTTCTGAAAGGAATTTATAATATGGACTTGCACCTAATTCTATTACAAATATTATCATTAACAGTGGCCTTGTTGGAATAGAGAAGCATTATAATAAAGAACTTCAATAAATGCTAAAAAAGAAAGAAAAAGAAAAAAAAAAAAACAAGCTCTGGACACAAACTGCATGGGTTCAAATCTTAGTTCCCCCAGATACTAAATCTGTCACCTTGGGACTGTCACATCAGCTTTCTCTGTATCAGTTTCTTCCTACATAAAATGGGGGTGAAAATATCTCCATCATAGGGTTGTTGGGTAAGGCATCAATGCATATAAAGTGCTTAGCAGAGTGTCTGGCACTGAGAAAGCATTCTATAAATGTTAGCTATTATTAAATCCAAGCTGTCATTTTAACAAGTCTATTTCTATTTTAGAAAAGCCCTCTATTCAGGTCAGACACACAAATTAAGAAAATTCCAGAAACTTTGCAGTCACATATTTGTGCATTGCACTCTTTAAACCTGCTGCAATGATGCCTGTTTTAGAAAAGATGATTTCCCTCTCGGTGTTTCCTCTTCTTATCATCTGCTCTAATTTTCCTTTCTTTTAACTTTTATCATCTGCTCTAATTTTCCTTTCTTTTAACTTTAATTACACAATCTTACTCCCTCATTCCCTTTAGCCTACACATACACTTAAGACTCAGGTATGTGCAACTGCCTAGCAAAATTCCATGTAAGTGCTCTGAGAAATATCAGTTTTCTTCTTTCATGCTCTAAATTTTCTCACCTCCATTGTCAAATACCATTCTGTCTTCCTCCTTTATAGCTACATCAAACTTAGTGAAAAACAAACTAGATCCTGACATCTATTTGTTCAATTCCCATTTAACAACTCTTCGGTGCCAATTTCCATCTTTCATGCACTATTAAAATTGTTTTCACTAAAGTGATCAAGTACTTCTTGTTGCTTGAATATGAGGTTAATTAAAAATCTTCATTCAGTCAAATATTTCTGCTTCTTTATCATTATTGACTTCTGTCCTCTGAGAACACTTGATGTTCAGAACTCTCATGACTTCCTTGTTTTTCCCTCTCTTTATTTTCTTTCATGGTCTGATCCTCTATTTTCATTCTTCCCTTCCTTAAGTAGTAAACATCCTGGATTATAGGGTTCTAATTTTAATCCTAGTCCATTCATAAACTTGTTGTTCTTGGGAGCTCTCATTTACCTAAGAACTCTCACTATTATCCCTGTCTCCCTACTCTCTCATCTCCAGTCTATATCTGTCTTCATTTAGGTCCTATTCATTCCTCTCCTGAAAAAAAAAAATCTCTCAAAACCAGCCAGCCCCTTCTTACCAGTGTCCTTTCTCATGCTGT